TTCTTCTCAGCATCGCCGTTTCAGATTCTCCTCCAAAAAAAAAAAAAAACCCGAAAATCTTCTCCCTCCAATCTATTTATACGCCCAATAAATCCAAAAAAGAAAACTACCCAAAACTAAGGCCCTGTTTGGATAGAAAATAGTAAAGGGAGGGGAAGGGAGGGGAATGGAGGAAAATAAAAGGAAATGGAGGGGGAGGAAAAGAAAGGAAAGGGAAGAAAATAGAAGGAAATGATTTGTGTTAATTTTGTTTGGATAAATAAAAATGAGGAAGGGGAAGGAAAGGGAATGATTGCATTATTTTATGTTTGGATAATTAAGTAAAAGGAAAGAAAGGAATGGAATGATTTAAATTAATTTTAAATTTACAAATATGAGTTTGGATTAAAAAACTGATAAATGCAAATTAAAGGAAGAAAATTATTGATTAAGATTTTAAATCCCATCAATTGTCATCTACCACTAATAAGTAGTTTGGTGGATCATTGCTTTGAAGGAAGATACCTGAATATAATATTTAGATATTATGTGTTAAAGTGGCACTTGCAAGAGCATTGAAAGATGATTTTGCAAAAATTCTGCTTTCACGGACAGTGAACACGTAATATAAAAATTGCTTAACAATTGTTTCAAAAATTAAATTTCTGCTTTGGTAAGTTGCTTCACTGGCAAGAGCAGAACCTTAAATTTTGCTCCGGCCAGTGAAGCAACCGAAGGCCATTATGAAACAAAAAAAGACATAGCAGCAGGGTCATGACGGAAAATAAAAATAATAAATGGAGAAAACTGGTATTGACATGTATTCTCACTGGTTTATGGCCTCTGTTGAATCCTCTGGTTTTGGTGCTGTTGCTGGCAAGAAGGAGAAGGAGAGTTTTGGTGTTGTTGCTGCAAGAAGGAGAAGGATATAATAAAAAAATTAAAATTAATTTTGTAATTACATTTAATCTAATTTAAACAGTCACTCAAATCCCTCCCAAACCGGGCGGATTGCAAATTTACAGATTTGAGGATGGTTAAAAGGGAGTCCGAATCAGTCCATCTTCCTCCCCTCTGCCTCTTTGGAAACCCAAACAAGAGGAAGGAGACAACCCCCCTCACTCCCCCTCCCTTGCCATCCGTCCCCATCCCTTCCCCTCCCTCTCCGTCCGACACCTCCAATCCAAACAATACCTAAGAAAAACTCAAATTTTAAATCA